CGAGCCAGGCGTCCTCCATTTTGTATCTTTGCATTTTGTTTTTCCTGCCTTGGTTTTGGCGTCAGGAACCAGGGTTCTGACGTAGGACACTGATAAAGCACCTGTGGCGGCTGACCCTGAAAGAAAACGGCCAGCGGTTTGGGCGGGTGAATTATGCTGGGTTTTTGTCTTGGCGGGAGTTACGTCTTTGAATGAGGGGGAGGGTATATAAGGAGGTGCCAACCGGCGCCAGGCAATCTCGGCTTTTTGCAAGTCTATGTTTCCAGCAGTTGTCTTTGATACCTGCGTTTTCATTGGGAGCAGCCGCTGTGAGCTGACATGGAAATTATTTCAAATATGGTTTAATAGTCTGGGCATTTGACAGCTTTATCCCTTTTCATGAGAGTCGACCTAGCTCTCTAGATGCTGATGCAATTCCCATCGGTTCCAGGTAACATACCGAATGATAGAAACATAGCAAATGAGAGTTGGCTCTTGTGAGAAGCACGTCACGGCGGTCTCTGGCACATGTGATTACATAGTCTAAGAGGTGCCAATATATTGAACTTGTTTTTCTGGCGTTATAGCATGTTGGTGATGAAAGGTTGTGTTCTGCACATTTGGTGAGAAACAGGATACCATTCGAGTTGCTGTTTCCAACCCCGTCTTTTCCTATGGTCCCTGACCACAGGTCAAAGTCTCGCCTGACTCTTGCATTAAAATCCCCCCAGGAGGATGATTTTGACCTCCTTTGGTATCTCTGACAGGACAGCGTCCAGCTGGCAGTAAAAGTTTTCCTTGATGTCTTCATCTGCCTCTAGTGTTGATACATAGGCACTTATGATGGTTGCCTGTTGGTTTTTGGCAAGTTCAATTCAGAGGATTGAGAGTCATTCGTTGATGCTGGTGGGTGCTTTGGTCAGACGTTTCACCAGATCATTTCTGATAGCAAAGCCAACTCCATGCATTCTTTGGTCTTCTTCAGGCAGTCCCTTCCAGAAGAAGGTGTAGCCTCCTCTTTCTTCCTTCAGCTGTCCCTCTCCTGCTCTCCGAGTCTCCTGACGGGCTGCTATGTCAATGTTAAAGCGTCCCAGCTCCCTTGCAATGATGGCAGTTCTGCGTTCGGGGTCTTCACTGTCAGTGTTGTCCATCAGTGTCCGTATGTTCCATGTTCCGAAGTTCATTTTTCTTTTTTGGCCACAGGGTGGTGAGCCCACTGGACGTGGCAGTCCAGTCAGGGATAAGAGAGGCAGGCTATGTTTAGGGCACCTTTTCTAGCCCTTCCCCATGAGAGGTGAGCAGAGTGGATCCTCAAAAGGGCTGCTCAGTCATGGATACAGCTGCCGAACTACTCAACTGCCTCAGACCTTGAGGTAGAAAGACTGAGTTCATATCCATCACCCATGTGCCAGTCTGTGACTAGGGGCTTCCAGATTTCACAGTCCTGCCCCCGCTGCCACTCGCTGATTGCCATGGGACTTTGGTTGGCTTGTTTTTATTTTCCTTGGAAGACGCCTGTGCGTGGATTTTTTAAATGTGTGGATGTCAGTGCACAGCTGATCAACACACAGTCTTCACAGAGTGAGGTTCCACGGGTGGCATAGTTTACCAAGATGACCATGGCTTCTCAATCTGTTGCAACCTTCTTCCACATTCACAGCCGTGGTAACATGTACCATGTTATCTTCTGCCTGCTCCACCATTGAGGTCTTTGGGTCTTCGGACTGTGCTTGGTATGGAACCTCCCCTGCGGCCACTCCTGAAGTGCATGACTCCAGTTTCACTAGAACACGCAAGCCCCCTCACCACGAAAAGGTGACAGTCCATCAAGGGGGGGGGGTGTTTGCCACAACCGTACGGACATAAGAGTTCTCTCAAAACCCACTTTTCATCCCTGAAGCACAAGAAATTCTAGGTAAAGCAATGTAACTCACAGGAAGAATTTTTAAAGAAAAAATTAAAAGGTGCCTACTCTAAAGAGAGCCAAAACAGAAGAAAAAAAAACCCCTACAGCCTTGGGGATGTCTTTTATAATGCAAACTAGTTCTAGCAGCAAATCATGAAAGCGGCTGACAGGATAATAAAGTTTTAGCTGAGATTAAGCAGTGAGAAGTAAATCTTCAGTTTGAAATGCAGAGGTGCCTAACCAGAGTACTCCTCCTGTTTCCTTTCAAGGCAGGGAGCAACCAAAAATACCCAACAGAAGCTGAAGTCACTTTTTGGCTTTCAGAAGTCTGGTGAGAGGGAAGTGTGGTACACAGGTAATAAAGTAGGCAAAAAGGATCCAATGAACATTCAAGGACAAGCAGACAGGTTTAATGAAGCCATTGGGAGGTTTTGGGGGCTAGATGAGGCTATGTTTTTATTTAAGCATGCAAACTAGAACTTCTCATCTCCTGATGTTCGAGGAGAAGATGGGCAATGCTGACAGGGGATAGGGAAAAGGCAGAACTACTTAATGTCTTCTTTGCCTCAGCCTTCTCACAAAAAGAAAGTCATCTTCAACCTCAGCAAGATGGAGTGGATGAGGGATTAGAGAACGTCCAACCCTAAATTGGGAAACAAGTCGTCCAAGAACACCTGGCCACTCTAAATGAGTTCAAGTCCCCAGGGCCAGATCAACTACACCCAAGAGTACTGAAGGAACTAGCAAAAGTAATTTTGGAACCATTGGCAATCATCTTTGAGAGTTCTTGGAGAACGGGAGAAGTTCCAGCAGATTGGAGAAGGGCCAATGTGGTCCCAATCTTCAAGAAGGGAAAAAGGATGACCCAAACAATTGCCGCCCGGTCCGCCTCACGTCAATACCAGACAAGATTCTGGAAAAGATTGTTAAGGAAGTGGTCTGCAAACACTTAGAAACAAATGCGGTCATCACTAATAGGCAGCACTGTTCCTTGTTTCCTTTTCATGCCCTTCTTTTTCCTGGGTATTCAGGCTTGTTCCACAAAGGGGAAAGGTCAGGTCCAACCTGGATTTTAAAAAACACTGGTTAGGCCCAACTACTAAAAATGACTTACCCAGCCACCATTACCCTGCTGCCAGCCATCTTCCGGCATGTAGAAACGATGCGCCAGGAGAAGAGGGGCCAGGAGTGATTTTCCTCCTGGACCCCCTTTCTCCTGGAGCACCATTTCTACACACCAGGAGAGGGCTGGCAGAAGGGTAATGGTGACTGGGTAAGTCATTTTTAGTTTTTAGGCTTTTCTGCGGGTTTGGGAGAGGGGGTTACAGCCCTATGGACGCATGGAAAATGTGAGAGGGCTGTACGGACCTCTGAGGAGGCAATCCAGAAGGCAGCCATGCTGGATTAAACCTGAGTCTTTCAGGAAAACGGCTTTGTGCCGAATTAATTCACTTTTACATGGGGCATCATTTGGATGCCCTAAGTAAAAGTGTAGGAGCTTGTGCTTTTTGCAAGATGTCTGGATGCCCCCATAGCAGGGTAGACTGAGTCCAATAAAATAAATCTTTCCACCATGAGGTCCCTGAGGCAGCCAGGATTGGGAGCAGAAGCACCGCCACTGACTCTGTTTGCTCTACCAGGATTGTGCACCTGTTTGCATATTTTATCCCTTGACTGACGCCACAAGTATGGCTATCTTAACAAGATTAAAACTGGGTTTAGAACTGAGCTTTCCAAACTGCGTGTCGTAGCACATCACTGTGCTGGCTGCAGTGTTTAGGTGCATCGCATGAACACAAGACACCTCTGGGGGCCCTTTTACACTGGCATATAAAATACAGAATATCTGCTTTGAAATGGATTATATCGCAGTGCAGGCTCATATGATCCAGTTCAAAGACAATAATTAGATTATCTGCTTTAATAATCTGGATTATATAGCAGTGTAGAAAGATCCCCCATCTATGTATTTTGTGTTTTTCTTGGATGACAGGGGGTTGGACTAGATGACACATATGGTCTTCTCCAACTCTGTGATTCTATGAAACAAGCAATACCAGCTTGCATACATTTTTACGCAGCAAAGCTGCCAATTAGTAAGTATTAGCAACATAATTAATATTAGTAATAGGAATGACAGAAATCTTGAAAATGTATGTTAGTATCTTACAAAACATTGTTTTTTTAAAAAAATATATAAACAAAAACTTTTTATGGGATATGTTGTGTACTCACGGAGCCCTTCCACACTGCCATATAATCCAGAATATCAAGGCAGATAATCCACAATATTTGCTTTGAACTGGGTTATCTGAGTCCACACTGCCATATCATCAAGTACAAGTTAAACATGAGCCAACAATGTGATGTGGAGGCAAAAAAAGCCAATGGGATTTTGGCCTGCATCAATAGGAGCATAGTGTCTAGATCTAGGGAAGTAATGCTACCCCTCTATTCCGCTTTGGTTAGACCACACCTGGAATATTGTGTCCAATTTTGGGCACAACAATTCAAGAGAGATATTGACAAGCTGGAATGTGTCCAGAGGAGGGCGACTAAAATGATCAAGGTCTGGAGAACAAGCCCTATGAGGAGCGGCTTAAGGAGCTGGGCATGTTTAGCCTGAAGAAGAGAAGGCTGAGAGGAGATATGAGAGCCATGTATAAATATGTGAGAGGAAGCCACAGGGAGGAGGGAGCAAGCTTGTTTTCTGCTTCCTTGGAGACTAGGACGCGGAACAATGGCTTCAAACTACAAGAGAGGAGATTCCATCTGAACACGAGGAAGAACTTCCTGACTGTGAGAGCTGTTCAGCAGTGGAATTCTCTGCCCCGGAGTGTGGTGGAGGCTCCTTCTTTGGAAGCTTTTAAACAGAGGCTGGATGGCCATCTGTCAGGGGTGATTTGAATGCAATATTCCTGCTTCTTGGCAGGGGGTTGGACTGGATGGTCCAGGAGGTCTCTTCCAACTCTTTGATTCTATGATTCTATTCACGGTGGCCTCTCTTCCAAAAGCAAAACACGAGGCCACTCAAGGGCACGCCACAACAGCTGCCTCGTGAGGGGCCACCCACCCGCCTCCCGCCCCGCTCCCTTGGCCCCCGAGCGCGGGTTACCTCCCAGCCGGGCGAACTCGCTCCCCCGCAGCCCCTGAGGGCTCTGCCCGCCGTAGCCATAGGCAGCCCCCGCGGGGAGCCCGCTCTGGAAGGACGCGAAGGAGAGCCGCTGCCCCCACGCCTCCATGGCTGCCCGTGGAACGCGAGGAGAGGCACTGGCGGAGCAGGAAGGCGACTGGATCATATGGGAGGCGGGCAGGCGGACGGGGGCGGCGCCCTTGGCTCCTCCCGCCAGGTCCCGGGCCAGAGCCAGCGGCTCCCTCCCTCCCTCCCTCCCTTCCTCCCCGCAAAGGCAGCGCGGCACCGGGCGGGTGGGGCAGCTGAAGGGAAGGGAAGGAAGGGAAGGAGAAGGGCTTCTCAACAACCAGCCTGGAAGTTAGTTTTCCTCAGGAACTGTTACGGAACTCAACGCAAAGCCGCCCAATACGATATCTGTAGTAACTCATCCAGGCTGGAAGTTTCTCAAGTCGCTCCCGACACGAAAAAAAATATATACATATATATATGCAACAGCTTTTTTTATATATATATGCTATGTGCATAATGAGTGCCTTAAAAAACAAAAGAACCAATGAACGAAATCACACCAAATTTGGCAACAAAACGCCTCACAACACAAAGAGTGACCATCACTCCAAAAATTATGATTTTGTCATTTGGGAGTTGTAGTTGCTGGGATTTATAGTTCACCTACAATCAAAGAGCATTCTGAACTCCATCAACGATGGAATTGAACCATTCTTGGCACACAGAACTCCCATGACCACAGGCCCGTAGCGAAATGTTTCAGATTTTTTTAAAAAACCTGGTTTACTCATGAATTTTAACTGGTTAACCAAATCCCCATGCTAAGTCTATGAGATGCAAAAAATCAAGAGTCCCTTCAGAACTGCAAGCACCATCTCAAGCAAATATTAGCAATTTATTCACACTGTCATTACTTGCAGCAATAGCTGATGTAGTTGTTCTGGTACAGCTGTACCAGGAGCTCCAACTTTATTTGCTTTGTATTAAATGTTTGCTTGCAGTCCTAGGTTTCAGGGACTCTGCAGATAGGTGGCTTCTTTGGTTGCAGTCATAGGGCAAGTCACCTGTCCATCACTGTTAAGTTTTGGTTCCGCCCCTTGCTCAGGGCAATTGCTCAGGGCATTTTTAGTTAGTCTCAGCAAGGTAAGCTTATGTATAGGATGTGTGCAAGCTTCCCCTGTACAAAAGCTTCAACCCTTAAGACCTTCCGGGGGAGAAAGGTCTTAAGAGTCTCCAAAGAATTTCCAGGAAAACAGCCCTAAAGACCAAAGAACTCCAGCTGGAGAACATCTACTGCCTTGCTGGTAGGTCCACTCGGCGTTCAAGACGCAGTTTGACCCGGTAGCGGAGCCCACATCAGTAAGGGTTAGATTACAGTCAGCCTGGGAGAAGTTAAAAGGGGGATTTTCCTTTAAAGAAGAAGTTATTGAAGACAGTTGCCTGTCCTTCGTGGGCAAGATTAGGAATTCACCAGTTGCCTAAAAGCTTGGAATCATTTGCTTAACTTTACTGAAGACAAGAGAAGTTTCTGTTTGATTGTTCATTAATAAAAGACTTTGTTGTACTTCACAAGCCATCTAAAGACTGTTTGTGGTGGAAACCTCTGAGAACTTCTCTTTAGGCCCCCTGGCTTCCCGCTGGGCAAAGGTTGCACATCCTGTTCTAAAGACAATTATTTACAGGCCCAGCGTGCGACAGAACAGTAGTGAAGCAACCAAGTTGGGGGAGGGGGGGATGTTGAATGCTCTCATTAAGGAGGCCAGACTTGGTGGAGGTGGTTGACAAGGGTGGAGCTGCAGGCTATTGAAGGCTCCTCTGCCCCCTGCTGTGCTCTTTGCTTCAGCGTGAGCTAGGAGGCAGGTTTCAACCCCCACCCTGCAAAATTTTCAAACCCCCCCTCCCCCGAAAATTTCAACCCCTCCCGAAATTTTTTTCTGGCTACGTCCCTGCATGACCAACAGAAAATATTGGAAGGGTTTGGTGGGCATTGACCTTGAGTTTGGGAGTTGTACTTCACCAACATCCAGAGAGAACTGTGGACTCAAACAATGATGTGTCTGGACCAAACTTGCCACAGATATTTCATATGCCCAAATATGAACACAGATGGAGTTTGGGAGAAATACACCTTGACATTTGGGAGTTGTAGCTACTGAGATTTATAGTTTTCTGCCAGCTCACAACAGCTGCTCCCAATCAAAACATGCAAAAAGCCGAGATTGCTTGGTGTTCGTTTGTGCCCCTTATATATACCCTCCCCCTCATTTGAAAGCATCCTTCCCGCCAAGTGCAAAGGTAAAAGGTAAAGGTAGTCCCCTGACATTAAGTCCAGTCATGTCTGACTCTGGGGTGTGGTGCTCATCTCCATTTCTAAGCCGAAGAGCCAGCGTTGTCCATAGACACCTCCAAGGTCATGTGGCCGGCATGACTGCATGGAGCACCGTTACCTTCCCGCCGGAGCGGTACCTATTGATCTACTCACATTTGCATGTTTTCGAACTGCTAGGTTGGCAGAAGCTAGGGCTGACAGCGGAAGCTCATGCCGCTCCCCGGAATCGAACCTGCGACCTTTCGATCAACAAGCTCAGCAGCTCAGTGCTTTAACCCACTGCGCCACCGGGGGCTCCACCAAGTGCAAAACCCCGCGTAAATTCCCCGCCAAGCCGCCGGCCGTTGTCTTTCAGGGTCACCAGCTGCAACAGTCTTATCAGCATCCCACGTCAGAACCCTATTTCCAGCGCCAAAACCCAGGCTCTGGAAACTGGGTCCTGACAGTTCTCCTACAATCAAAAAGCATTCTGAACCCCACCAATGACAGAATTGGGGCAGACTTCCCACACAGAACCCCCATGACCAACAGAAAATACTTAAGGCTATCCAGTCCACATTCACCAGGGTAAGAAAACGTAATAAAAGCCCTCCTAACAAAGAGTCATCCAGCCATAGATATAGTTAGATATATATGATTCACACACACACATAGTATCATAGATTTGAAAGGGGCCCCTAAAGAATGATATGTTGTATGTTCCAGAGTAGGCAAACCAGACAATATCCACATCAACACTGACAAAAAACTACAAGAAACACAGTTTTCCCACAAGCATCAAGAAATTACATAGATTAGAAACCAGCACTTTCTCATTACTTTATTTTCCAGATCACCAGACTGGGCCACAGCAATGCCTGGCAGGGGATGGCTAGTCCATAATAATAATAATAATAATAATAATAATAATAATAATAATAATAATAATAATAATAATAAAGCTTTATTTATACCCCGCTTCATCTCCCCCAGGAGGACTCGATGCAGCTTACATGAGGCCACGCCCATCAATACAATACAAGCAATATAACACAAAACACAAATAAAACAAGCAAAATGCATAAAATGCAAAATCAAAATAATATACAACACAACAATATAAAATCAAGCATTAAAAACATAGGAAATTTCACTAGGCATGGCCAGATGTAAGGATTATTATTTTTTTTAAAAAAAATTAAACACTGGGAGATAGGACAGTGTACATTTTAAGGAGGAGGCTCCAGGAATGAGGAACGATTTCATTGCACAAACCATAAAATAAAGTGCTTCTAAGGACATTTTGTGCAAAGTGTGGTCAGGGAGAATCTTACATTCAATTACTGAAGGCACATTTTGAAATTCCTCCTGAAGATTGCCAGTGTGGGGGCTTGCCTAATATCTCTGGGAATGAGTTCCAGAGTCGGGGGGCCACCGCAGAGAAGGCCCCCTCTCTCATCCCCGCAAGTCGCACTTGTTATGCGGGCGGGAGCGAAAGAATTGGCCTCTCCGGAAGATCGAAGGGATCGTGTGGGTTCGTAAATGGAAATACGGTCGCGCAGGTAGGAGGGTCCCAAACCGTTCAGGGCTTTGTAGATCAAGACCTGCACCTTGAATTGGGCCCGGTAGATAAACGGCAGTCAGTGGAGCTCTTTAAACAGGAAGGTTGACCACGCTCTGTAATTCGCTCCAGTTAATAGTCTGGCTGCTGCCCCTTGGACCAGTTGGAGTTTCCGGGCCATTTTCAAGGGCAGCCCCACATAGAGAGCATTGCAATAGTCCAATCTAGAGGTAACTAAGGCGTGGTCCACCATGGCCAGATCCGACTTCACAAGGTATGGTCGCAGCAGAAAATTATTTTTTTTCTTCAATAATTTTATTAGAACTCAGCACAGCCTCCCGATACGATTTTTTTTAGTAATTCGCCCAGCTAGGAAGTAATTTTCCTCAGTAACTGTTATTAGAACCCAATGTAATGCTTCCCAATACAATATCTGTAGTAACACATCCAGCCTGAAAGTTAGTTAACCTCAGTAATTGTTCTTAGAGCTCAATGCAAAACATTATCATAAAATATTTGTAGTAACTTATCCAGCCTGAAAGTTACTTTTCTTTTTTAAAAAATATAATCTTTATTAAATGTTTCAAATACAGTTAAAATAATAGAACAAAATAAAAAATAGAGAGAGCAGGAAGAAAAAAGTAAAGACAAGAAAGAAAAATAGAAGAGAGAGAGAAAAGAAGAAAAAGAGGAAAGGAAAGGAAAGGAAAGGAAAGGAAAGGAAAGGAAAGGAAAGGAAAGGAAAGGAAAGGAAAGGAAAGGGGGGGAAAGGATATTAAAAAGTTGTTTTGACTTCCTGGTATCTTCTAGAGGTCAAACTTTCTTCTCTTTCCTTCTTTTTCCTCCCCTCCAACCTCTTGTTCCTGTCTTCTTTTTCTCCTTTCAGCTTAGTTTCTTCTTTTTTGTATTTGTCAATTCTTCTTTACTGAATCAAAATCTTTTCGTTTCTTTGTTTGAAGTATTCAGTGACTTTTTCCCAATTTGTTTCTTTCATATTTATTCCTTTATTTCTTGACATAAGAAATGTAAACCAGTCCATGTTTTTAATCTCCAATATTTCATTAGTTGCTCATCTTCATCTGGTATTTCTTTTTGTTTCCATCTTCTTGCATAGCATATCCTTGCTGCCATTGTCATTAAGAATAATAGTTTATCTGTGTTTTTCTCTATCTCTAGGTCATGCATTCCTAATAAAAATAACTCTGCTTTCCATGGGATGTTTATCTTCAATATTTCTTGTAATTCTTTCTGTACCTCTTTCCAATATTTCTTAGCCTTATCACAGGTCCACCATATGTGGAAATATGAGCCTTCTTTTTCTTTACATTTCCTTGCAGT